GACCGAGGCTGTGTCGTTGTGCCAGCTGGGGCTCTGCGCCTGCTTGACCGAGCGCAGCGTCTGCACCGTGTCGCGCGAGGCCAGCGCGAGCATCGTCTTGACGATGGACTCCTTGGAGTCGTCGCCGGTGTAGTCGAGCGCCTCGCCCTCGCGGAAAACGATCAGCTTGGGCAGCGACAGCGCACCCTGCACGATTCGCCCCAACACAGGGCTGTCTGGAGAGTCGATCCGGAGCTGGCCGAGCTTGACTGCAGCTTTGGCCTTGACGCGCAGCTCCGGCGCGGCCTTGCGCAGCCGTTTGTCCACGGCGTCGCACACGCCGCACCCCGGCACCGAAACCGAGATGAGGAGCAGAGGGTGCGCCTCGAGTGCTACTTCGAGTGTGCTGTCGGTGAGGTACAAAAGCTCGTCCGCGGCGTCGGACTTCTTCCCCTTGGCCTTGGCCGCCGCAGTCCGAGACGCGGCGAGGCAGAGAAGGAGGAGGATCCTGGCCAGCAAGACGAGCCGCATCATTGTGACGTGGAAACTGGTCGAGGGTTCTGCCAGTTCGAACGCGCGCTGGCCTTGTCACCGCCGCCACCTCCAGCTCACCACCCAAAAAATTAACGCTTTTTTCTGAGGCTGCCAACTGCACTCCCCGGCATGCTGATACCACAGCTGAAGGGAGACGAGAGATACAAATACCTCGGAACGGAGCTAAGGACCGGGTGGGCAAACGGCGAGGGCCAGACGGAAATGAGGGAGCGGTGCGTAGCGGACTGCAAGAGAGTAATCTGGATCATAGGCAACCTGCCGCACTTGACAGGAGAGCAGATCCGACGCAACATGGCGCTAGCACTGAGCGGCATTATCGGCTACTACGGCCGGTCCACGGTCATCACATGGGAAGACTGCCAGAGCATCGAACAAGTGAGGGCGAGCGCCCTAAACGCAAAAGGGTACTCGGTAGGAATCCCGCGACTACAAATTTACGATGTGAAGGAGAGAGGAGGGATGGGAATGGAACACGCGTACACGTACGCAGCGGCGGCGCTGATCGATCAAGTGGACCGGGCCCTCAGCGCGGTGGAAGGGGAACCAGCGAGGGTGGCAGTGGAGAGCAGCCTAGCGCACACGTTGAGGAGGCTGGGATGCCGAAGTGACAACCCGCTGGAGTGGAAGCCGAGCTGGGACTGGGAAAGGGAGCTCTCGGACGAACTAATGATCGAAGCATATCTAAAGGCAAAATGGAGGTGTGGGGTGGAGACGGTCACGACAGCGGGGTGGGAAGAGAGCAAGAAGGGGCCGCTCAGACCAGAGGCGTGGAGAACGACCGAGAGCCGAAAGAGAGTACTGGGCCCGCTCCTCTTTGAGACAAGGAGTCATGGCTGGAATAACCAAGGCCTCGCGTGTGACTTTGCACGTAACCTAGCCAAGCACGGGATAGCGACATGGTCGGACGTGTCAGAATGGGGCACCGGGGAAGTGTTGACATGGCCGCAAATGAAGCGAGTCTATGGCCTCAAAGACAACACGACGGAACATAGCGAATACAAGAGGCTGGCGGAGCAGCTGGAGCGACCAGAGTGGGCGCAGCTGCGACAATACTGGAAGTGGGCGGCCATAGAAGAGCGCGCGCACGGACAGAAGACGGAACGGAGGGCGCCCGATAGGGTGCGGAAGGTGAAGGCGGCAAGGAAGGCGCCGACCTGCTACGGGGGAGGCACGGAGGAGGACGAACACGGATGGGAGTACCTCTGCGAATGGGAAGGCGAGCAGAGCGACAGCTGGGTGTGGCACGATAAGATGCCCCACACATGGGAGCGGGAGCTAATGCACGCGCAAGGCGCGAGACGGCAAGCGGCGTCCTTCCGAGAGTGGCTAGAACACCGCAGAAGACTGGGTAGATCGGGGCCGGAAGCAGCGCAAGCGGACAGAGCACTAGAGACGTGCGATGGAAAGAGTAATGCTCCGTCGTGGAGCGACGTGCTCGATCGATTCATTGAATACAGCAGGGAGGCAAACGGGGTGTGCACAAGCGCACCCAACATGACAGAACACACGTTCGAAGAAGGGCGAACCAGGACGGACATCCGAGTGGAGGGGAAGGCCAGGACGCTCTACCTCGGAGGGAAGAAACCGGCGCAAGACAGCGGCACGCAACTGGGGTCGAGAGAGGACGGGGACAATCGAGTGATAAAGCTGGAGGGGACCCCGGGCCTCGATACCAACGCGACATGGGAGGAGGAGATACCCGAGCAAAATAAGATCACGAAGGACGCGGTGAGAAAGATGATGGAGAGACAGGAGAGGGAGCGACAGGAGGGGAGCCTCGGGGCGGATGAGACGTTGTTCCCAGAGGGGGCGCCCCAGAGACACATAAACTGGAAGAAAGAAGACTACGAGCTGTTCGTGGGGCACGGACACGGGGCGAGCGCGATCAGAGTAGGGGAGCTACAGGAGGACCCACTAACGCGCTTCTTGCTCCGATACGACGAATTTGAGACGGGGGGAGAGCTGACGGACGGCAACGGGAAGCGAATTAAGATGGGAAAAGACAGCGAGCCGCTGCGGTCGGGGAAGGGACGAGCCTTGAACGTGAAAGTAGCGCAGACATGCCTCGCGCTGCACGTCTCACACCAGTTCACACACTTTGCGGCGACGGACGGAGGAAAGGACCATGAAGACAAAAGGGCGGAGGATGGAAAGTACGTGCCGAACCCTAGGGTGGCGTACGGCGTGTTCGAAGGACCGACACGATTCGGAAAGAGCGTCCCGGGAGACGCACAGGTAAAGGATCCCAACGGAATCGGACCCTGTGAAGAAGGGGAGATACGGATAGCGTTTGGGGCGGGAATGTGGGGAGGAAAGCTGCCGAACATGTGGGAGCCGATAGACGCGGAGATGTACGCGATACTCGCATACTTACGCAAAATGGCGAGCGCGAGCGACGCGCAAGCGCGGCGGTGCTTAGTGCTATGCGACTGCAAACCCGCGCTGCAGCAGATTGAGAATGCGCACCGCAAAGGGATGCCAGAAGGCCTGAGGGACTGGGAGAGAGGCGGACTGCTGGAGGCGATCGCTTACTATAGATCGAAGCTAGAGGCGGTGGTCTTCATGTGGGTGCCAGCACACGTGGGAATAGCCTGCAACGCTTACGCCGACGCGGTGGCGACAGCACACCTCGGGGATAACGACACGGAGGACGCCTCGAAAGTGGTGCGGGACGCGGTGCGGACGCGGCCATGCATGTACACGGTGCGAAGGGAGGCGGCAGAGAACGCAGAGAAGAGGGAGATAGTGGACCGACGGACGTACGGACACATGTGTAAGAGCGCGCACGAGTGGGTGTGCGAGCAATATCGAAAGACAGTGAGGCCGGGGTCGCACACGGCAGGGGTGGCGGGACGGTTGTGGAGCGAAGTGGCAGTAGCCAGCCTCAAGCATCGATGGGATAATAAGATGAGATTACCAGACGAGAACGGGGGGAAGGACAGGCGGGCGACATTTGACGACGTCGGGGATCACAATGTGACGACCAAAACGATCTTGGGGGCCAGGGTGAGACAACAGGTCGGGGTGCCACATGGGGCACACCACAGGCGTATTCTAGAGGGGGAAAAGAAACGGGGAATGAGGGGCCCCGCCACGAGAAGTGCGTTCTGGGGATGCAGAGCGTGCAAAGCGGCTAGAGATGAGGTCGCAAAAGAGGCGCGCGAGGCAAGGAGGAGACGCGGGGAACTGAAAGACTGGGACGACTGGAAACAAGAAGACAGTGAGCCACCACAGGCGTCGTTGGCGCATATACTACATATCAGCCACACGGCGAAGGTTG